CGTGCTCCTGGGCACCCCCTCACCACGCCAGGCCAGCCCACGGCTTGGCGCAGGGGAGTTGTGTCCTCCAAGTCCCCCAGACCATGAGCAGAAGGAAGAAGGGGTCCCAGGGTCAGGATGCTGATTTGGCACTGGAGCAATGCAGCGAGGGCACAGCCGCTTCCCCTGGCAGCCGGCAATCCCTGCATGGTGCCGAAACGTGCCTGCAGACCCCGGTGTGCCAGCTCGCAGCTAACCTGCGTCCTCTGCGTTGCAGGCTGGTCTCAGGGCGGGAGGAGATTAAAGCTGCTTCCCGAAGCTCGCCCCAGCCCATGTCACCCTCTGATTTCCTGGACAAGCTTATGGGACGAACGTCAGGGTATGATGCCCGGATTCGACCCAACTTCAAAGGTAAGGGGAGCACATGAGGCTCCCAAACCTGGCAGTGACCTGTGCTTATGGCTCCCCAAAAGCAGGGAGCAGGCAGGGAGGGGTTTGGGGGTGGGATGCTGACCCACATGCCTGCCATCCCAGCACCGTTCCCAGAGTCCTGGCTGCTGCTGCGACCACAGCCACCCTGCGTGGGTGCCTGACAGTGCGAGCGGCTCAGTGCTTGCAGGGGGTGCTGGGGTTCACCTCGACGCAGCAGGGGGGTGACCCTGGTGGGCAGGGGAATGCTGGTGTGTGTCCATCTGCGTGGTGTGTGCTTGAGGCAGTGTCCCCACGCATGCCTCTGTGCTGCATGTCTCCCCGGCCAGCAGCCAGAGGAGGCTTCATGCTGTTTTCCAGGTCCGCCTGTCAACGTGACGTGCAACATCTTCATCAACAGCTTCGGCTCTGTCACCGAGACCACCATGGTGAGGGTTTTGCCAGTGTGATGGGCTCATCTCGCAGTGCCTCGGGGCTGGTGGGGGCTCTGCCAGGGAGCGTGCAGGTCCTGGTGCCCGTGGCTCTGCTTGCAGGGGTCCTGTGAGCCCTTCTCTAGAACCATAGCAAATGACCGTGGCTTTTCTGGGGTCAGTTAGCCACATCTTGGCTGTGTGGGCCACATTCCCACTGTCCGATCTGGGAGAAACACCTGGAAGGATCGGAGCGAGGCAGGTCCCTGCTGTTTGCAGGTTCGGCACGTGCCTTACAATGCGAGTGCTGTGTCCCCACCATGCCCAGCATCCTCGGGTTCATGAGGAACTCCTCTGAGGAAGCCCCAAAGTTAAATATTCCCTATTTGTGCTGCTGCAAAGCCTTAATACCATCAATCATCACATCAACCTCCCACAGGGCCACAGAGCCCTGCAAGGAACACTGCAGACAGCAGCTACTGCTCCTCCTCCTCCTCCTCTCGGCCGCTGTGGCTTTGGCTTTTTCATTTCCCCTGGCTGCCAACAGCACAGGAAGGCTCCTGAGCTGGCCCTGCCTTGTGCGTGGTTAGTGTCAGGCAGGCAGCACCTGCAAGGCTGAGCCTCGACCGAGAAACCCCCTTCCACCTCCTCTTCCACCTCCTCCTCCTCCTTGGGCACCATGGGATGCTGCTGGCTGACACGGTGCCCTCTGCCCCAGGACTACCGAGTGAACGTCTTCCTGCGGCAGCAGTGGAACGACCCCCGCCTGGCTTACCGCGAGTACCCCGATGACTCCCTCGACCTTGACCCCTCCATGCTCGACTCCATCTGGAAGCCAGACTTGTTCTTCGCCAATGAGAAAGGGGCCAATTTCCACGAGGTCACCACCGACAACAAGCTGCTGCGCATCTTCAAGAATGGCAACGTGCTCTACAGCATTAGGTAGAACCCTTCCCCCCTGGTGCCATGACTGAGTGGGGAGGTGAAGCTTTCCTCTTGCTTCTCGTGGGGCAGCTTTCCTCCCCGTAACTGCCCCAGGTCCCAGCAACCCCCTTCTTTCCTCTGCCTCCTCCAGGCTGACGCTGATCCTGTCCTGCCCCATGGACCTTAAAAACTTCCCTATGGACATCCAGACGTGCACCATGCAGCTGGAGAGCTGTGAGTACCTAGTCCTGTCCCATCCCATCCCTTCCCATCCC